GAGGAGTGTGTGACAGTAGAAAGGGCAGAGGCAGCAGAATGGATCTCCTCAATATTGAACTTGAGGACATCCATCATCTCACATTTGGAGTTGGTGGGAGGGTGGACGGGGGAGTTGGTTTGTTTTGGAAAACAAGAGACTGAGGTTGTCTTTGGCTTCCAAGATGATTTTGGAATAGAAGGACGATTTAGCTGAGGCGAGAGCGGAGTAGGAGATCTTGGTGCAGTCCAGCCAGATCTGGCAATGGACCGATTGGATTTGTGCCAGGTGCATTCAGTGGCACACACCTATGATTTGAGGATGCAGAGGTGGCTGATGTACTAGAGGGCTGGCGAGTGTAGGAGGTGGGTGCAAGGCCAAGGGTGTCAAGAATGATGAAGAAGTTGTGGAGGACAGTGACCAAGGAGGGTAGGTCATTACGGGAGGAGTACCAAAGAGGCAAGAATTCAGCTGACTTAGCATTGCATCTGAGGATCAAGGTGCTTGAGAGGATGAGCAGAAGAGGTGATGAGTGAACAGCACTTTGGGGTTAATTTTGGCCTCCAGAATGGCCCTGGGAGAAGTAGGCAGTTTTGCCTGTGTGAAGCAGAGGCAGTAGGTACAAAGATTCTCAAGCCACATTTGACAGTGACCCATGGGGCCAGTTTTGTGCCATTTGCACTTGAGGGTCCGGGTTTAGGATTTAAGGGGATGGAGGTGGCTGTTGTACCAGGGGGAGATGGTCCTGGATTTCAGGGGGGCAAGGAAACTGAAAGTTGAGGAGACACGCTCATTTAGAAGCTTGACGGCTGCAGTGGGAGATAAGGAAATGGTTAGAGGTGGCCATGTCCATGATGGACAGTTCGGAGATGTCAAGGCCATGGGCAATGACGAAGTCGAGAGGATGGCCATGGTTGAGGGGGCGTGAGTTTATGTGGAGGGTGAGATTTAGGGAGGAGGAGGGCAGCAAAATCAGAGGAGATGGAGCTGGAGGTTGAAATTGGCCATTTTGAGTAGGTGTTCACAATGAGGAGAGAGATGTCCGAGAGGAAGGAACCATGTAGTTTGGGGACGAAGGGGGGCTTGGGGGAGATTAGGGGGATTTTGAAGGAGTGAAGGGAGGGAGGTACAGGGTGAGGTGCTCAAAGGAAAGGAAGGAGTTGGAGGAATAGGGAGATAGACCGAGGGAGATTAGGTTCCACTCCGCCACCACTGGAAAGTGTAGCCAGGGTGGGGAGGCTTCGCCCAGGGGGACGGGGTCACCGGGGGACAGCCAAGTTTCCATGAGCCCAAGAATATCCATCTGCTCATCCAGGATTAGATCACAGATAGTGAGAGCTTTCTTACAGAAGGAGCAGACATTTTTGGAGGGTAATGCGAATAGGGGTGCTAGCAGGGGAGGGCACAGTGGAAGAGGTTTGTGGGGGGTTTATAGATTTTGGGGTGAAAATGACTGTCGCGTATGAAGGGTAGAGTTCGGAAATATGTGGATGAGGTAAGTGAGGGTGGGGTTTACACACTTTCTGCTTCCACTGTCTCCCTAGGGACTGTGATCCAAAGATTTAGCGCTCTCACTGAAATAATGTTTCTGCAGATTAGTTTCGAATTTATCCTCCTTCAAGCACAGTCGGTGTCCCCTTGTTCTACATTTCTAGACAAGATGAAACAGCTTGTCATGGTCTGACCATTTCCCCCCTCCTTGCTCCCTCCCTTCCCTCACCCTGACCATTTCCCCCCTGCTCGGGTCATGACCCAACTGTGCAGCGCCTTGGGACGTCCTCCTGACGTGAAAGGCGCTTTATAAATGGAATCTTGTTGTTGTTGTTGTTGTCTACTTTAGCCATTATTATATATTGTTGCTGTTGTCCTAGAGGACTGGAGAGGGGCAAATGTCACTGTTTAAAAAAGAGGGAAAAGGAAGAGCTGGGAACGATGGGTGAAAGGATCTTAATTCTAAGATCCACAACATCCGCCTGACTGCCTCCTTCTCCTGCCTCCCTCCATGTCGCCTACCACACCCACTTGCCTCCTTCACCGACCTCTCCTCCTACCACAGCCCATACCCTACACCCCTTTGTACTCCCTCCTCTGCCCACTGCTGGCTGACACAATCAACCAGTCCCTCTCCCCAGGCTCTGTCCCACTCCTTCTCAAAACCGCTGTCATCACTCCTTAAAAAACCTACCCTCGATCCTTCCAACCTCACAAACTTCAGACCCATCTCAACCCTGTCTCCCTATCCCGCGTCCATGTGGGTTTTGAGTGCCCATCACTCTTGTGTTTTCTCTCGTCATCACTCATGGCCTAGACATCTCTTGTCTGTTCATCACAAACAAGGCCATTTCAGACCACTTCCTCTCATATCAGTCTCCCCTCCTCCAAGCCCTCCACCATCTTTTTCCCAAATCTACTTCTCCTCCAGCTGCGACTCCCAGTCCACTGATGTCCTGTCAGCTTGTTTGACGGACATCAAGGCCTGGGTGAGCGCAAATATCCTGCAACTGAATGTCGGCAAGATGGAAGCCATACTCCTTGGCTACCGTCAAGGTCTCCTCTCCTGCGGGTCTGAGCTCCTCAACCTCCCCAGGCTCTCCCTCAGACTCACTGAACCCGTGAGCAACTTAGGCATCAGGTTTGATCCCCAGCTTTCCTTTCTACCCCACATCCTTTCCTTGACCAGGATCGCTTTTTTCCATCTCCATCACATTGCCTACCTCCGTCCGTACCTCACAACCAAAGCAGCCGAAACCTTCCTCCACTCCTTCGTTACTTCTGGCTGGACTATTCCAATACCCTCCTCGCTGGTCTCCCCAGCTCCACCATACACAAAATTCAACTCATTCAAAACTCTGCCGCCCGATACTCACTCACACAAAACTCCGAACCCCCATCACACCAGTCCTTGTTCCCAATCACCGAACGGATCGATTTCAAGATCCTCTCACTTGTTTTCAAATCCCTTCATCCCCTCGCACCTGCCTACCTCTCCGATCTGCTTACCCCCCCACTCCCCCACTTCGCTGCCTCCCCTCAGCTGGCTCCAGCCTCCTGTTTGTTCATCATCTTCTCCGCTTTACCATTGGTGGCCGTGCCTTCAGCCACTACTCCCCAAAACTCTGGAACTGTGTCTCTCAATCCCTCCACCTTGCCCCCTCCCTCCCCACTTTCAAGTCTTGCCAGAAGACCTTCATTTTCAATCGTGCTTACAGTCACCTCCCTCTCCCCCTGGCTCGGGGTCAGATTCCGCCACTGTCAAACGCTCCGGGACGCTACCCCAGATGAAGGGCGCTATATAGATGCAAGTTGTTGTTGGTGTGACTTTCCCTCTCTGTCTTAACACTGTTCATTACGTTTGTATTCCATCAGAACAACAACTGGATTTAGATTTGCCTTGGTGGCTGTTAGAGCAGAGTTGATAAGTATAAAGTGAGAGTTTGAACATCTTCCTTGAGCAGGAAATTTGGGATTAGGGTGGATGGCTTCTTGGAGGAGCAAACATCTACATCAGTGTGGTCCAAGTGGCAGATGCGGCTCAGTGGGTGATTTATCAGGCCCGAGACCATTTCCAACATTCCAACTTCCACTCCCTCCATCCCTGGTGAAGAGAGAGTGGGGGAGAGAGAGTGTGTGTGTAAGAGAGAGGTAAGAAATGAGGCGTGAGTGAGAGATAGAGACTATGAGAAAGAGTGATTGAGAGAGCAGAGAAAGATTAAGAGTAGGGAAGACAGAGCGATTGTGAGGGGGGAGGGAGTGAACGTGAGGGTGAGGCGGAGAGGAAGAAACAGATAGCAGCGGAGATTGAGAGAATTTGAGGGAATACAGAGAGGGAAGGAAAGAGAGATGAGAAGAGAGGGGTGAGTGATATGGGGAGGGGGTGCGAGGTGGAGTGTGAGAGGGAAGAGAGTGAGAGGGTGTGAGAAGGGGAGTAAGAGTAAGTAATTCAGAGAATATGAGAGAAGGAGAAAAGGTTTTAGAGAGCGAGTGATTGAAGGAGAGAGAGTATTGAGAGAGGGGGGGAGAGTGAAACAAAACGAGAGAGCAGAGAGGCAATATTAACAATAACAACTGCTTGCATTTATATAGCGCCCTTCTCGCAGGGTAGAGTCCCGGAGCACTTCAGAGAGAAGTGAGGGTTCATTGTCAGGACAATCAGAGCCTCCCTCAGCTACTGCGGGTGTGGGAGCGAGGACAAACATCAAACGAAGGGCTGTTCAATTTCCTCACAGAAAGCTCCCTCTTTCCTCAATGAGAAACTCCTCTACGTCCTTCATTATCCCCACCTCTGCAACCTCCTGACCTGGCTGTTCCCTTTGCCCAACAAACACCAGCTTGCTTCATGTCCCCCCACCCCATCTGCTCCACCATCAACATTTTGCCCTCACTCTCTGCAGCTCCATTCCTAGAGTCCCTCCAACTCGCACCCTCCCCTCTTTCAAGGCAGGTCACGATCTAAATCTTTGACCACGCTTTCGGTCATCTTTTCCCCTCCCCATCCCACCTCCATTGACTCCCACATGTGCTTCCAAGATGAAAAAGGCGTTGTGTAAATTTTGTTGTGTTTCTGGAAGGGACTTTTCTCAAATAGGGAATCCAGGCCGCGGCAGCCAAAAGGTTGGGCCATCCTGATCTACATAAAAAAATGGCTTCCGATTGAACTCCATCCTTCCCTGTCCCTCCAACTCATTCCTCTCCTCCTTTTGTTTAGGAGCCACCTCAAGATCTGGCTTTTTGACCGTGCTTTTGGTCAGCTTTTCTCTCCCCACCTCCCTCAGCTCCTAATCCAAGCTTGGATGTCCAGCCAGCAGTACCAAACACATTGAGACATCGTCCCGACATGAAAGGCACTGTATAAATGTCAATTATATTGTGTATTGCAATTTCAGTCAATGTTATTGTAATTTGTAAGATTAATATTTGCCTCGCAAGTAGAATGGAATGATTTACTCTTGGATTTCAATATGTTTTTACTGTAGTGACTATTCACATTGATGTTCTGCACTAACTCATGCTAACCTCCGCAGGAAGAGCCACCTCTGCAGCCAGTCGCCTCAGTCCCTGACGGCTCGGTTCAGCAGCTTGACCAGACCCTGGTTCCTCCCGACCCAGAGAACAACCTGAGCAACACATTGTTACAGCCAGTCCAAACCACCTCCCCCAGCACAGCGGAGACGTGTGAATCCTTTGTGGCACATCATGGCACTAGCCCTTCCTAATGTTGGCCACCCAACATTAGTCTCTAATCTACTTGTAGCCAATATATATGAAAGTAAATAGATCCACATTATGCATCTCATGTGAAACACAGCACCAAGAGAGAACTATAACACTCTTGTCTGTCAGGACAGGTGGGTAATAATGGCCTCTGAACAGCTGAAGGACATTAGCACAAGATACCATGTGACCAGATGAAGCCTTGTTTAGGTTAGTCCTTCTCTGAAGGATATTAGGTGCAATCATTTAAACTTAGCACCAGTTATGTGAGCGTGTGTGTGATAATACGGGGGGGGAGAACAGCACAGTTGTGTATCCAGGCTGCCGCACAGATATTAGCATTAGAGTATTAATCAATGGCCTCATACCTTCAACTCTTCTCATCTCTGCTACAGAAGTGTAGATCAGAACTGTCCAAGCTTGCACGCCTGTGCAGCGGTGCTCAATCTCTGCTCTCATCCATCGCCTTCTCAGCCCTGAGCTGTGTGCTTTCACTGGGTAGGGCATCGGGGAAACATCACAAAACAAAGGTTTTGAGAAGAAAGATCCTGATTGATGGATATTTGCCATCTCTTTCCCTGCAATAGAGTCCCAGCATCTCTGGGCGAGTGCACAGAGAATGCTGCCTGCTCAATTGCTGGGAGCAGATGGAAAGAATCCAGTTAAAGCACAACCCAGCATCCAGCTAATCTATCAGATGTAAAGTTACACCAGTCTCAGACCCACTGTGTCCTCTTCACTTGGATTAAGCCCATGTAAACCATTCCCACTGAGCAAGTCATTTTCAGTGATTTTTTTTCTCGCTCTGGAACTAGCCCCTGGCCACACTTCCATTCACCATGCAATGCCCTTCACCTTACCCCAGCACCTCTCCAAGCCTTCATCAGGTTCAGTTCTGATCCCTGCTCCTCCAAAGAAAATAAATAACAACAGAGTGCCCAGAGACTGCTAGTGAGCCAGTTATGGAATCCTTACTAGGATGTACCCAATGATTGTTGATTTGACATTGCAGAAGTAATGGCCGTTAAATAAACAGAGGCAGGTGATTGGAATAGGTAATGGTGCGATTTTGGATTGTTTGGCAATACCCAGCTGCCAGTGTTTGCCTGACACAGTGCACAATATGGCTCATTTGCCAGGACCAAGAATCTCCAGATTAAGAAGAGTATCCACTAGTTCAGTATGTCCACAGCATTTGTGGTTGGACCTGACCAAGAATGTCTGAGGATGAGCTGTAAGTGTTGACGACAGAGAATTCTGTCATCAACACTTACAGAGACGACAGGTAGAAATCTTGCTTTAGAAGGTGTGACTGCAGATCCATGTGTACAGGTTGTCTATTGCTGCTCTGGCTAAGAGGAGTTTGGCTGTGCATTATGGGTATTGTAGTTCTGTATGGGATGACCATGGTCACCAGTTAATATACCTGTCGACTTTTGTAAGCAGTTTATAGTAAATAAAGAATTCCCTAAGCTGATCATTCAGGAAAATGCCCCTTTTCCACAATGAGAGAAACTCTGTTGCAAAGGTTGCTCTTTTAGTTGTAAAAAATTGGTCACTTCAACCCACGACTGTTTGTGGGACAGACGCTGCTGTGTGCAATTGGCTGCCGCGTTTCACCCACAAATATACAGTCAATTCATTTTACAGTCTATTCTGTGAAGCGCTTTGAGATGTCTCGAAGACGTGAAAAGCACTATATCAAATGCAAGGATTATTATTATTATTGCCCGGACATCTTGTACCAGTTGTAAGGATCATCTCCAAGGTGATCACATGAACCTTCAATACAAGAGAGTTTTATAACTGTGGTTGCAGTGTACGTATTGTTTGTTTGGCATGATGAGCTGAATTCCATTCTTCTGTGCTGTCAATTAAGTAAGATGTCCAGAGTATACAGTGTAACTCAGCTGCTCAGAGCATACACAGACAAGAATAATGTTGGGACATCCTCCTGATGTGAAAGGCACTATATAAGTTCCAAGTTGTTGTTGAATGATTCTGTGTGCACAAATCACACCCATTCATAGGACTATAGGAAAACAGGAACGAAAGGAAGCCAAGTTTAGATATGTCAGTTATGTAATCTTGGTAGATCTTTTAATCTCACTGTGCTGCCCTTTCACTTAACCTGTAATATCTCTACTCCCCAAGTCACTATTTTATCCCTCTTGAGAATGGCATGAGTTTAAAATGAAACCTTTGCAAGAATTTCAACCCAACCCCAGGCGTTTCACATCCCAATTGTTCCGCAAATATTTGCTTTTGATGATTGTTTGTATCTCCTGCACTGAAGCAACTGACCTGTGCTGAGGGAATTCCAAGGGTGCCAAGTGCCCTGTGGGTGGTTCCTCGTCCAAGTGCTCATTTTCTATGTATGAGGTGCAGGTTATTTCATTGTGGGGGACATCACAGCCAAGACCAACCCTGTCCTCACCCTACATCAAAACCTCAGCACCTAGCTAGTGATCAAGAGAGATGTATGGACGGGGTTGCTGTTCAGAGGCTCATCATACTAACTGCTGCTCCTTTGAGATCAGGAATCAACACAAAGCTGAGCTGCAGAACCATCTCAGCCACTGGGGAGGAGGAAAAGAAACAGAAAGATTCAAATAATTAATTAGATTTTTCATTGTGATAGATATCCACTAGAGACAAATCACTAGTGTTATCCAAAATCACAATCTGACTTTATTGTGTGAGGCGGACTGGCTGCTATTGCTACCAGCTCCATGCTCATCGCAGGCTGCAACGTGTGTTTGTGACAAAAGCATCTCAGGACCCAAACTGATCAGAGTAACAACATCTTGCATATAGATAGCGTACTTCGCACAGGGTTGCATCTGAGAAAAAGAAACCTGCAAGCCAGGAATGTCCCAGCATACTCAGTCCGACATGGTTTGTAATGACTCCTTTGCATTTTATGTGCATTGTGTGAGTGATTTGAACTCGTGGATGTGACTAAAGTGATTGGAAAAGCTGGATGTTGGGGCTTCTGCATCTGCTTCTGATCTGTTTGGGGAATCCGAGGTAAAGCTGGCCGATAACGGGATGTGAGTAGTGACTGGATTTTTGTCACACTCTGGATTTTAACAACTTCAGAGCATCTTTCTAAATTTGGCAAATATCTTGGGTGCATTATTTTAAATGTTTCATTCAAACTTGATTTTCTCCTGAAGAACTGAGGTCTGGATGTGAAGAACATGATTGACAAATAAAGTTTTATAGCTTGCATTGAGTGCACAGTGAAGATTTCCTGAATGTTCCATTTCATCCCCTGAATGATGGTAATGGCTGTCCAGTGCTTTCCACATCTCACCAGAGAGAGCAACAGTCACACAGCCAGCTATTGATCCTAGTGTTTTTCACCTGATTTGTCAAAATACCAAGTAATGTGAGACTTGGTTAAGGTGGTGCCTATTGTGTAATGATATGCAGACCAGCAGAATCCCAGGCTCCCTCCCTGGCCCGTGCTAATCTCAGCCATGAAGCTATAATTGGTCCTAGCACTGGGTGTGGGGGCATTATGCCATGATTATTTCACTGGAGAACATCACAACCAAGACCAACCCTGTCCTTGCCCTATATCAAAACCTAAGCACTTTCTAGTTTGTGATCAAGAGTGAGATCTATGGACAGGCCCATTGTACCAACTGCTCTCCCCCTGTAAGACCAGGAATCAGCACACAGGTGGAAAGAGAAAAAAAGAATACATTAGGTTCATTGCACATTCAGAATTTGGTCAGCTTTTGTCTCTGGAAATCTGGGTAAAATGTGGTTGGATTAGTTAATTGCAGCTGGGGGCAGCGGGCGGGGGTGGGACAAGGCCGATGGCCTGTGGAATGTCTTCCCTGCAGCAAGACAGGAATTGGATTTACAAAAGCTGCTGCAAAGTGCATTCTCCTTTGTGAAGCAACAACAATGAGAATTAGTGGAGCCCTCAGGGCAGCCCTACACCTACACATCAATCAGGATAATATTGCTGGAGGAACTTCCTTATCACAACCTTTGTTTTGCCTTTTATACGCATTCCTCATCCAGTGTAGCTGCCTTCTGCCTCTGTGTTATACTGTCCACCACTGTCTCTTCTCTCAGGCCACCTAAACCCTCATAGAATCATAGAATTACACACCACAGAAGGAGGCCATTCGGCCCATCGTGTCTGTGTCGGCTCTTTGAAAAGAGATTCTAAATCAACCCCACTCCCCCGCTCTCTCCCCATAGCCCTGATCAACCCCACTCCCCCATTTTCTCCCCATAGTCCTGATCAACCCCACTCCCCCACGCTCTCCCCATAGCCCTGATCAACCCCACTCCCCCACTCTCTCCCCATAGCCCCGATCAACCCCACTCCCCCACTCTCTCCCCATAGTCCTGATCAACCCCACTCCCCCACGCTCTCCCCATAGCCCTGATCAACCCCACTCCCCCGCTCTCTCCCCATAGCCCTGATCAACCCCACTCCCCGCGCTCTCCCCATAGCCCTGATCAACCCCACTCCCCCATTCTCTCCCCATAGTCCTGATCAACCCCACTCCCCGCTCTCTCCCCATAGCCCTGATCAACCCCACTCCCCCATTCTCTCCCCATAGTCCTGATCAACCCCACTCCCCCGCTCTCTCCCCATAGCTCTGCAAATTTGTCCTCATAATAATTATCTACTTCTGTCTTAAAAGCTGTTATTGAATCAGTTCCCACCGGCCTTTCAGGCGATGCATTCCAGATCCCAACAACTCGCTGTGTGAAAAACCTTTCTCCTCACCTTCCCTGTTTCTTTTAACAATTATTGTAGCAGGAAATATCCAACACTGGTTTGCTTACTTGTCTTCGTTCCTGAAAATTCCCCACACCACACTGATGGAGACACAAAATAGGGCAAGCAGCAGCATGCGGACCTGCGGCTGCTTGTGGCAGCATGGGAGGCCCATGTCTGGAACCCTGGTGAAAAATGAGAGCAAAGAGAAAACATTACACCGGGCTTGAGCACATTCTGATCACAAAATTGTCAGACCAAGAACACTTGTTACCTGCATTCGCAGAAAGGAATTCTTTTCACAAACGGAGACAAGCAACTGTAAAGTCCGATGGATGAAGCAAGGCAGAAAATTCCTATGATTACGTAGACTGGATTCAAAGTTGGGGAGAAAAGAAGAGTAAAACAGATTACTGACTGACTAGATTACTGTTTCTATTAACAACTATTTTAAATCAGTGCCCTCGGGTTACCGACCCACCCACCAGTGGGAATAGTTTCTCCTGTTCACCCTATCGAATCCCCTCATCATTTTGAAAACTTCCATTAAGTCTCCTCTTAACCTTCTCTGCTCCAAGAATAACTCTCGCTTCTCTCGCCTCTCCTGATCACTGAAGTCCCTCATTCCTGGTACCATCCTGGTCAATCTCCTTTGCACCCTCTCCAATGCCTTGACATCCTTCCTAAAGAGTGTGGCCCAGAACTGAACACAGTCTCTCACTGAGGCCTCACCAGTGCTTTATATAAAGGTTCATCATAACTTCCTGACTTGTATTCTATGCCCCTATTTATAAGGCCTGGTATCCCATAGGCTTTTTAACAGCTTTATCTGCCTGTCCGCCACCTTCAAAGATTTACTATATGACCCTCAGGTCTCTCTGTCCCATCAGCTTATATTGCCTCTCCTCATTCTTCCTCCCAAATTGCATCACTTCGCATTTCTCCACATTAACCGTCATCTGCCACGTGTCTGCCCATGTTACCAGTCTGTCTATGTCCATTTGCCGTCTGCTACTCTCCTCCTCACTGTTTACTACTTTTCCTAACTTAGTATCATCTGCAAACTTGGAAATTGTCCTCCCTATACCCCAGTCCAAGTCATTTATATAGATCATAAACAGCAGTGGTCCCAATACCAACCCCGGGGGGTCACCACTGCACTTCCCTCCAGTCAGAAAAACAACCGCTCACCACCACTCTCTGCTCTCTGTCTCCCAGTTCTGTATCCGCTGCCACTGTCCCTTTAATACCGTGGGCTTCGATTTTGATTACAAGTCTCTTATGTGGCACTTTATCAAACGCTTTTGAAAATCCATATAAACCACCAACTGCACTGCCTTCATCCACCCTCTCCGTTACTGCATCAAAAAACTATCAGGTTTGTTAGACATGATTTGCCTTTAACAAATCCATGTTGACTGTCCTTTATTAACACATTTTTCTCAGTGAAAATTTATTTTTTCCTGGATATTGACGTCTGGCTGACTGGCCTGTAGTTCCCGGGTCTATCCTTCTACCCCTTTTTCTACAGGGGAGTAACATTTACAACCCTCCAGTCCTCTGGCACCTCCCAGTGTCCAAGGAGGAGTGAAAGATTGTGCCCAGAGCCTCCGCTATTTCCAGCTTTACTTCCCTCAGTAACCGAGGATGCATCCCATCCGGACCGGGTGACTTATCCACCTTGAGCACCGACAACCTTCTTTGTACCTCTTCTCGATTTATTC